GAATGTTGAAACCATAACTTGATATGGTAGAATTTTTAGACTTGAATTAGTTCTAAGTAGAAGGAGAAAGATTACTGTGTTTCTTTTTACTAGCATAAGGGAAAAATTTGTGTTCATTTTATTCATTGACACATCCCAACTATCTAAAATGGGTTTGACAAATTGATTTAGAAAAATTCCAGTCCACGTTTTATTTCTGTACATCCCACAAACTAAGCCTAATTTTTATATTTTTAAATGGGCGGAAAATCAAAAGAAGAATAGCATTATCTGACATATGAAAGTTACATGGATTTTCAGTGCCTACAAATGAAGTTTTATTGTAACACAAATTTGCCATTCACTTATATATTGTTTCCCTGGTTGCTTCTGTACTGTAGTGAAGAGTGGAATAGTTCCAACAGAGAATGTGTAATTCTAAAGTCAAAATATATTTTGTGAGTACACAGACAGACATATACAAACACACACAGACACACACACTCATAAAAGGCTGACTCTTGGATAAGAATACTACCTCTTCTCTTCCCAAGTCATATACACTAACATAATTGTGTTTCTTTTCAAAGAGAATCTTAGGCCTATATAAAATACTAATGCCAATCATATAGTATCCAAGCATAGAGAAACATATGTTAAGGATAACAGCCTGAGTGAGAAAACAGGTTGAAAACCTATGTTCATACTTTGGCTTCTCCATGTATGAGCTCTGTGACTGAGGGCAAAATGCTTAACTTCTCTGTGCATTATTTTTCCCACCTTTAAAATGAGTTAATGATATACCTATTCCTTAGAATTGTCATGAGCAATAAATAAATAAATTAGTACCTGTAAAATGTTGGAACATCACCTGGCATAGGCATCTGTTATAAATTAAATAACATTTTAAAGTTAATAAAAGATATTTAAAAAAGCAGCTAAGGTAATAAGTGTACCTGAATGTGTACATAACTATGGGGAAAATGCATGCATGAGTTAAAATTTGAGTATTGTCTTCCTTTATTTGTAAATCTTCTAAATAAACATAATGTGCTAACATCAATTCTAATTGCCGTTTGATTGTAGCATATAACTTTTAGGCCCCCATACCTGTGACATAATTTTGTAATCAATGGTCTTGTTTTAGATAATAAACAAATTGCATTCTGAATGGTTGAATAATTTCTGATACAAAATCTAACTACCAACAACTTCTAATCTGAGTATATCAAATTGATATAGAGTAAAGTAACAATTTTGAAAATGCACGGTTATAAGATTAGTTTGCTTTTCTAAGGTTATTATTGAGTTCTTCAGGAGAGAACTAATCAGAAATATCTTGCATTTAGAAATACTTTCTAAACACCAAAGTCAAGAATCAAAATTATATATTGGTAAATCTAATGGCTTTTAAATCATTGCAAGTCACTTTAGCAAATAGATAATTAGTATGCCTAATGCTTAAATAGATTTTACATTAATATGTGTAAATCTTTAAATAGAATTTTTTTATAGAAAGTAAAATCTTTATGGGGTAGCCATCTAACTTCTAAAAATATATAATCTCTAACTTCAGTATAGGGCAATAAGTCTCCTGATACTTCTTATTTTACTAGTGCTGCTTGTAAGTTCCTATCAATAAATATAATTTTAATGTTTTAATAATGACTTTTCCAAAATCTTTTCAAACAACTTATTTTTTTTACTTCTTGATGTATGAAATAGAATTTTGAGTTTTTTAAAATGTGTCAATTTGAACCCAATTATCTTAAATTAATAATGTACATATTCAAATACAAGTTAAATCTTATTTATTCAGTTTAATGCTTGATTCACTAAATAAAATATAAATCTGAACCAAATGGCATACTCAGAAAAACTTAGCAACTAGAGCAAAAATTTGAATCTATAAAAATCTTTATGCTTGGGTTGCTTTATTTTCTAGATTTAATAAAATGCAAAATTATGTAATGGTCTTTAAAAATGTCTAAAATATTACATTTGTTATTCTATTAATAGCTCTGCTTTCTAAAGATAACTTCCTACATAGGAAAATTCTCCTTAAAGTTATTATATTTGTTCAGATTTTGTGCTTGTTTCAACAGTGTAACCAATTTTATTTCCAAGTTCTCTAAATTTGAGGAACTCTTTCATATTCAGACTTTGAAAACCACAAGTAGATAGAAGATTAAAAAAATCACAATCTTTCTTGCAGATGTCTTCAATAAAAGTAATATAATCACAAAACACTTGTCTAACATATTTATCCCTTCATTTAACCATGTGCAAGATCATGAGAACATCTTTTATATGCTGACACAATAACTAATGGATCAATATGATACAATTGGTTGCAACTTACAGCACATTTGTCTACACTGGAATGAAGACCTTGATGGTTAATCTTGCATTATTTTGGTGACTCCAAATTAGAATGATGTCATTGGTTCTTAAAAATTAAAATGCTAGTTAGTGATAATGGAGCAAAATATATCACTGTGAGATCCACAATAGGCTTACAATAATTAGTTTAATTGCATTATTAATTAATTAATCAGTTCTGTTTCTTCTGCATTTTAAAAGAAATATGGTTTTCTCCCCTATAGAAGTATCAGATTCTTACAGCATCCATGACACTTGTAAGCATTCAGTGGTCAGACACTGCTACATAGCCTTCAAATGACATGGCCCAGTGAAGCTGGAAGGTGTCATCACGAGGTAGGCAGCCTGGTATCAGCCGACCACCAGGACAGAGCCAGCAGGCCTCAGTTGGTGGACTGAATCCAGGCAAAAGTAGGAAATAAATTTTGCATTTTGAAAATTGACTCTGCCAACACTGAAGACTGGGACATATTTTTAAGATAAAAGTGCACTGAGGGTTTCAGAAAGTGCTTATACTGAATCAGATGTGTAACATTCATTCTCAAAAAAATAAACTCAATTTTATTAGCCTAGATTAGCCATACATTAAAATCTGAAAACGTGTGTGTCTAGAACTACGGTGTCTGAATTCTTAAATATGTATGATATACTAAATTCAATGTTTTATGGTCACTTAAAAGTGATAAAGTTAAAATTGCAGAATATTAATCATCAGTGTCCATTGATGTGGTAACGCCCATTACACTAAGTTGATCAGTTTGATTTTTAGATCAATGAAAGATATTTACTAAATAAATTATATTCCATATCCTTGTTGGACTTCTGTTTACTACCCAAGGACAATGTGATCTATGGCATTTTGGGGATGAGGCAGGAGTTTCCAAGCAGTGTTCTGGGGCCCCAGAGCCCCCTAAGATCTTGGCCAGGTAGTTCAATGCTCAACCCTGCAGTGCAATGCTGCTTGGTCCTAGAGGTACTGGGGGCCACAGGGACCACTCTGACAGTACCTGGGGTCATGTACAGCTAGATCCTGTTGTGCTCCCAGAGTCATGAATACCAGGGATCAAACTTGGGGTGATGAGCATGCGAGGTAAATGCTCTAGCCCTTTGAACTATCTCTCCCATCCCTTGAACACCATCTTCTGACACAACTCTCCATTGACTCTTCTTTCACATATCTTGTAGGGAAAAAAAAAGATTCTAAGCTCATTATATTCTACACCTTTTGTGGGCCTCTCCTGAACATCAACAGTGATACCTGAGCAACTGTTGTCCATTTCTTGAAACTTTAGCTACTTCGGTCTGGCAGAAATATCACAATGATGATATAAGCACTTAATCCCATGAGGCCGCATGGAGTGGAACTTTAGACATCCTTCGAAATGGAAAAATGACACGATGGATTTTTAAACCATGTACTTCCAAATGGAACACTCTACTGGTTTAGGCTGAGGTAGCCTGACTTCTGGAATCATGATTTTTATGAGAAACAACTAGCATATTGTTTCCTTTTCTACAAAGAGAAAGAAACCCTCTGCTAGACTCATTAAAAAGGGTTTCTAAATTGGAGCCAATGAAACATGAATGTCAATTCCTATAGTACTTTTTAAACAATCTCAGCGGTATTTTGAAGAAAAAAATCCAAAACCCAGCCCACCATCATTTCTCTTGCTCCTTTAACATGAAATGCCTTCCACCAGAGAGAGAGAGAGAGAGAGAGAGAGAGAGAGAGAGAGAGAGAGAGAGAGAGAGAGAGAGAGAGAGAGAGAGAGAGTCCAGATTGCAACAACTCCTCCAACTTCATCTGACTTGGAAGCCCTCATCCAGACTTAGCTAAAGCTAGTAGACTCTCCTCTCAGTTTGCAACCAAGCTCTCCTCTGGGCTGCGGACTACTAGACATGATTCTCTTTGACACCCTGAAACCTCTTGCTGGGCTTCCCTCTAAAAGTAAAAGGAAAGACTTTCCACAGGATAGAAAGTTTTGCATGGGCACAGGATGCCAACATTTCCTAAAGCGACCTTAAAAAATAATGCATTTCAGAGCTCTCACTTCCAAAGAGAGTAGAAACCAGTCCGGGGTGAAGACGGGGTGGGGGAGGGTGGAAAAAGAAAGAGGAAAGAAAGAACCAACAACAACAACAACAACAACAACAACAACAACCGCAACAACAAAAACAACTGAAAGAATGAAAGCCTGAGCGCGTCATCTAGCCAGGGCAGAGACGCAGAGGTGGGAGAGGGGGAATTTCTGGTAGAATTCCTTTCTCCTGTGGTCAGCTCCTGTTGAGATTTGGAGGGAGGACACTCGAGAGAGGAGGATTGCCCCGCTGTCCCGGCCTGCGACCCCACCCGCCTGTCAATTTCAGACCCCAAGTCCCACAGTGAGCGCCCTGGGGAGAAGGAGAATGTGGCTTTCAGGCGCCCAGGGATGCTCTTAGGTCAGTTCCCCAGTGACCTTCCGGGGACTCGGAAACCAACTTTCCCCACGCCGTCCGATCTGTTTGTTTGCGTTGGTTCCCACTTTGCCAGCGCCCGCCGCCCAGCCCACGTCGCCCTCCCCCTCCCGTCTGCCCCCTCCCCTCACTCCGGCCTTTCGGGCTCCCCTCCACCCCCCTCCCACCTCTTTGTTGTCTCCTAC